AAAACTTAAAATGACTTTTAAAAACTAAAAAGGGAATTTGAAAATATAAATAGCTAGCAAAGTTATTTAAAGACAAATACAGAATTCCTAAGAACAAAAGTATAATTATATTTCTGAAACAATCAATAGTTTTTTAGCAGATTAAAAGCAAATGTGAACTTCATAATTTGCATGGCTGCACATTAAAATGGGAAGTATAAATATATAAGTATGTGTGCATATGCGTTTATTTGAATATTTGTAAATAAACATAAAAACTAACTATATGTGTCATATGAGTGTTGGGGATACTAAAACTCATATCTGTCAGATTGATCTAGTCACTTCACATCACATTAAAATTTTCATTTGGTTTGATGCCGTGCATCTTAGAACATACTTCTGTTAAGCATTCTGTTGCTTATATTGCTATTAGGAGTCATAAGCCTGTTTCTCTTCCTTTTCAAACAGCTTGCTCAGATACTTTCATTTTGCTGTTGTTCTTATCCATGACCTCCATTTGACATGAGTGAAGCTGTGTGAAATTTTAGGACACTCTTATAAGGTCCTTTCAGCTCCCACACTAGTGTTAAGAGTCTGAATGGTTCCACCAACTCACAGGTTAGATGAGCCACTGTCAATCCATTTCCATTTCTTCTCCTGTTTCTCATATGATAATCCAATCCAGTAACTGTTTCCTTTAAATTGGGACCAAAGGAAGTCCTATAAAGGAAATAAAATACATCTTATGATAAAGTTCTCGTCTGTGAGATGAGTAAACAGAACAGGAAAGGGGAGACTGTTCCTGTCAGTTCTCTGCTGCCCTGTCCTCTCTCCCCTCAACCCTCCATTTTTCATTTTCTAAAGTGATTTCCATTGGTAGAACACTTAAGCCAAAATTGATATTTATTTCACAAGTAATAAGAGGTAAAGTTTAGGTATCTAACAATTCCTTAAGCCACTTGTGACCGTGACTTCTCTTTTGAGATGTGCTCTCACTATGTAGCCCACTCTGGCCTCAAATTCTCAATCCTCCTGCTTCCGGCTTCCAGGTACACAGGCAAATCTGCTTCATTATATGATTCTGATACTTTAAGGAACCATTTAAACTCTTGTTCCAGAACAATAAGGGCTGTGGGGACGTGGTCATTGCATCATCTGGAGTGACAGGAGGGATTATCAAAGCAAATTAAGATGAACAGTGTGTATGAAAAAAAGTGCATCAAAACTCCATTTTTCACAGCAGAAACATTTCCTTTGTTCAATATCTAGACCAAATGAAGAAGAAGAAGAAGAAGAAGAAGAAGAAGAAGAAGAAGAAGAAGATAAGGGCTGTGGGGACGTGGTCATTGCATCATCTGGAGTGACAGGAGGGATTATCAAAGCAAATTAAGATGAACAGTGTGTATGAAAAAAAGTGCATCAAAACTCCATTTTTCACAGCAGAAACATTTCCTTTGTTCAATATCTAGACCAAATGAAGAAGAAGAAGAAGAAGAAGAAGAAGAAGAAGAAGAAGAAGAAGGAGGAGGAGGATGTGACTTAAATATATTATCACAGTGGCATGAAGTCTACTGAATTTTTTAAAATATAGGTTTTAATTTAACAACATGACTGCATCATTGGAAAATTATTTTGCTACTTGTGATTAATAATTATTTTATGTTGTAATTTTTAAAATCGATTAAATTTGGGACTTTTTTGCCTCACTTTCATTTATAAGGAAATAGATATTTAAGGATGACCCTTGCAGGTTATTCTCTGAAAAAACACATTCTGGGGCTGAAGAGATGACTCAGCAATTAACAGCACTGATGTTCTTGCAGAGTACCCAGGTTCAGTTCCCAGCACCCACATGGCTGCCAAAAACTGTTCATAATTTGAGTTCCAGGGACTGTTGACCCTTGTCCAGTATCCTCAGGAACTGCACGTATGTGTACACTTACATATATGTAGGAAAAACACTCATACACAGAAAATAAAAATAAGTAAATATTTTTTTAAACATTACATTCTATTTATTTAGTAATAAACTTAACAGAGAGTTCGGTATCAAGGCCACTATATTTCCTCTTCTAGTAGTTATTTTTCAAGGATAGACAAATTTATACAATACTTAAAAATACTGATGAAGTAAAGGTTATGAATGGATGCAATGAATACCACCATGGGGCTGACTGGTAAAACTCATGACTTCCATAGTCTTTACTATAATTTCTGTTTGCAGATAGAACCAGAGAGGTCAATTACTTTACAGATTAAACTGTCTGGTAAATGACAGAGACTGACCTCTTCCCAGGAATCTCACATCTGGTTTC